TCTGCCCCCGCCCGTGCCCGTGCTCGTGCCCGTGCCCGTGCTGCGTAAACGAACGATTAGGCATATAACATGCGACTAATCGGTAAGTCGAGTCTCTGTCCGCCGCAATCATTTATCATTGGCATTAGGCTTTAAGAGCGGGCGAAACTCTGGGGGGAAGTGTAAGCGAGATCTGTTGAAGGGTGCAGGGCAGGGCGTGAGCTAGTTAGATTCTTTATTTAGCCTGAAAGAGTGCAATGCAAAATTTAAAACTCTCTATGGGGAGCGAGATCTAAGTGAAGCTTTATTTTAGTATACTATACTTTTTATAATTCTATATAAATGAGAGACTTCATTTGTTAGGGTTTGATCAAAATATTCACAGATTTGTATTTGGCTATTTAAGTTGACTACTTCATCCAAACAGCTATCAATCGAATATATTTTTGAAAGCTATGAGATGAGTTACGGGTAGAAGTGGCAATAGGTTGCAGTTCTCACAGATAGAGAAGTCATACATTGGGCTAAAGTGGAATGAAAATAGGCGTAAATGAAAAGAGTCCGTACAGTAGCGTCCGTCTATGATGATACCGCATATTGCGTCCAGTTCTTACGTTGAAAATGAGATGTTTTGGCTGCTTCCCACAAAGTTATATGAAAAGGCCTTCGGTTGGTTATAGCGTCTACTGGGTATAACGACGTAAAATCGTTAGTCCTTCGAGCGTCGTTATAGTCGAATCCTACTGTAGTTATTTTTATTTTATTTTTCATTTTTCATTTTAGCAACCTCCACATATTTTCATAAACAATTAAATTTTGTTAAGATGTCTTTCTCAAATTGTCAACTTCAAATGTTAACAAGTTTATAACATAAAGAGGAATGTTAATAAAAAAATCTGTTAATCGTAGTATTCGGTTTATATTGCTTATTTCTTTGCATTTACTGTGCTTACAGCTAAATACAGCTTTCAGGCACTTAGAAGTCAGTGCGTCAGAAGCTATATAATTTATTTAATTATTTTTAAATATTTATTTATTATCAGTTATTTATATAATTTATTTAACACAAGATATAAGTGTATATTGTAGCTTATATAGAATACGTTTATATAGGTCTTAATATGCGTTATCAATGCCCATAGCTCACGCACTGAGCCAACTGGGTCCCATCCTCCGTCAAGAGCTTTGGACAATATCATTTGTCCTGCTGGCTATCAGACAATGGAGACGAGCGCATAAGAAATTGGTCAAGTCGGTGGCAAAGTTGAAAGAAATGGCCAACGCTTTGGTGTGTGGGCGTGGCATGCAAACAAAACGAACTGTGGCATACAGGGAATGGGGATAAAAGGCGGCAAATAAATCGCCTTCAATATATCAAAGACTTAAATTTCAATTTTTTTCAAATTTCCTGCCATTTAAATGCACTCCTTCGGCCAAGTGCCCAGTGACAGGATTCCATTTGCCCACACCCATCACATACATACATACATACATATATTCCCAGCTCATTGTTATGGCTGTGTTGGTAAATGATGCGCAGCGTGTTGCTCTCCTTGTGGGTGTGTGGGTGTGTGGGCGTGGCATCGCTGCAGAAATTGTGCCAGGAATTGAAATTCTTTTTTTTCTCTTTTTTTTTTTATTCTTTTTTATCAAGAGAGCGACCAGCGGCGGCAAAGACGTCGCAATTCTTTAGCATTTTATTTCAATTTTTTCAGTTTTTTTTCTTCCTATCTTATTTTGCATTTTATAGAGCTGAGAAGTGAGCAACCCAGAAGGAGGGTGGGCGGCATTGGATGGGTGTGGCAGAGAAGTGCGGAGACAACGCGAGTGTACAGCACATTTACTGCCTCATCTATTTAATACCATAAATAATTGCATCTAATTAAATATGCTCAAATGAAAATGTCCGCTTTTTTTTAGCCAGTTTTTTGTTGTTCTTATATATATATATATATATATATATATATTTTTTTTTTTGCCTTTGCCGCTGTCGCTACGTGCTCTGCCAGCGCTGGCTGCAGTTGACGCGTGATGGAGCGAATGTCATTCGAAATGAAATTCAAGTTCCAATTTGGACCAAAGAAAAAACGACCGACAGCTTACGAGAATAAGAGAGATAGGGAGAGAGTGTGTGAGAGACAGAGAGAGATAGGTAGAGAGAGAGAGCGAGAACACAGCAGAGGGAGACAGAGAGTGATAGCGCGATTGAGAAAGCGTGGGCTGCTGCAGCTAAAAAAAAAAATGGCCACGGCGGGTTTCAGTTGAACAGGTTTGTATTGGAAATACCCTGTACATAAGAGAAGATCATAATAAAACACATTTTAATAACATTAATATTTATTATATATTATATTACATACAAATAGTTTAGATTCTTAAATAGGAGTTTAATGTATATACTATTTGGTTATATCATCAGCAGTTGCAGTAATTCGACATACCCTGCGCAGGCCCACTTCAATGGGTACGAGGTATAATTAAGTAGCAGCGCGAGCGACAAAAAAATAAAGAAGACAGAATTTAATAGTTTTCAATTAGGAATCGTTTGCAGCCTTTGCTGCTGCGCCCTTCCTTTCTTTTTTATGGCACACACTTGATGTCGCATCAGCAGCAGGAGCAGCAGTAGCAGTAGCAGGAGCAGGAGCAGTAGCAGAAGCAGTAGCAGTAGCTGTCAGTTTTCTCGGCTCTGTAGAAGTGTCGAGCAAATGAAGTCACGGACTTCGTCGACTCGCCGCCCCCCAGATCGAGTTATTTGTTTGGCGCTGTTTGTGTTGTTTTCTTTTGCTGTTGCCTTGCGTGTTTTTAATTCAACGTAAATTTTATTTTATTTTAATTTCGCTGCAATTCTTTTAATACACGCAGAGAGAGAGAGAGAGAGAGAGAGAGAGAGAGAGAGACAAAGTGCCCTTTCTTTCCTTCCGCTCTGCCATTTTTATGAACATCGAGCACTGAGCGTAGCGTCGCGTCGGCTTTTATGAAAATGACACGTTGTGCATTTGCTTACGTGACTCTCATTTAGCCGTTGACTTTTCTTTTATTTTTCTCCTCATTTCCCGCTATTTTTGTTGTTGTTGCTCTTTTTTTTTTTTTTTTTTTTTTTTGAAGTACTCGTAATTATTGCACACATTGCTTTAATTAAACATACTTTGGCAGCCCTGCAAAGTAAACTTGGAGTCTATTAAGGCTGCGCAATTTATTGATAATATTTTTATATATTTATTACGATTTGAGATAGAAGAAGATAGAAGAAGAATGAAGAGATTGTATGTAGAGTTACCATTAATAAGATATCATATTATATTGGAAATTGCCATTGACAGAATATACTTATATTTTCTGACTGATTTGTTCTTCAGCAAAGCTTTTACCTACAGATAAATATATACCTTATTCACATACATGTACATACGTACATATTATTGCTTAAAATTGAGTTTCCTACCACTTATAGAGCTAAATTGAACTAAATTCAATACGAAATTCAATATCATAAATAAATCGCATTTCAGTTTCTTGAATAAAACTTTGAAGCAGAGAGAAAGAGACAGAAAGAGAGAGAAAGAGAGAGACAGAGTCTTAACTGTTTCCATCGAATTCTGTTACCGTTAATACAATCAATGCAAGGGCGCAAACAACTCAAGACAGTTATTTAAATAGCTTTGCAGTCACAGAGCCGGACTGATGGGTAGGCGGTTCGGCTAAATGAACGACTAGCTGGCACTACATACATACATATACATATATATGTATAGAGAACGGTGTTTTAGCTGCGACCTTCCGCCCGGAAGTTATTGAGCACGGCAAAGGCGCGACCTACAACATTACAACAACAACAACGACGACGACGACGACTTGGAGTCGATGGCAATGTTTGGCGCTGCTGCCACCTGCCTTTACCATTAGTTGGGCTGCAAAATTTTGGTTCGATGAATTTATTACTTTTGATGTTCAAACACGAAAACTGCTGCAGGCCATAAAACAAGCAAAGAGCGCTGAAACTTAAGGACAAGCCAGGCCAGGCCAGGCCAGACCAGACCAGGGCAAGCCAAGCCAAGCCAAGCCAAGGCAAGCCAGGGAGTATCGCAGGCACCCAGTCCGGGCAGCTTGGTACAGCAAATGCTATTAAAAGTTTACATGTCTCAATAGAGTGTTAAGAGATTAGTTGGCATAAAATATTTGGAGAATTCCAGCCAAAAGGCTGTTGGCCTGGCTGAAATGCTAGGCGCAAGCTGAGAGGCAGGGCGATAGCAGGAAGGGCGATAGGAAGTAATTCGGTGAGTTGAACTATATAAAGGAAATGCAGCGGCAAGAAATGCTGGATACGGAAATATTTAAAGTCAAATTTAAGAGGAAAAAAAAAAAAAAAAAAAAAAAAAAATAAAATAAATAAAAAAAAAAAATAAATAAATAAAAGTTATGACAAATAAAACTAAACTATTTTTAAAAAATATAAAATATTAAATCTTATAAAATATAGATAAATAAAAAATACAATAAAAAATAGAATTAATATTCATATAATAATTAAACATAAAATATATATAATAAATATATAAAATATATAAAAATAAATATAATATAAATATATTTAAAGCATATAAATTAGGTTCTTCTATTAATTTAAGCCTAGTAAAATTGAAATAAACAACACTAATAATATTTTATATTAATAAAAGCAATCCATGCAATACAAATGCAATATCAAATCAGGTCAGTTTATATTAAAGTTAGCCTTCAGAAATATTTGCTTATTTTTATATGTTCTATAAATTAAATTATACGAGAGACTAGATCCAGATCTACAAATGTTGAAATGTACACACAATATGAACACAATTTGATAATGGATATATATATATATATATATATATATATATATATATATATATATATATATATATATATATATATATACAAATATCTAATAACAAGCTGCAACTGTTTACAGCTGCGCGAAACAGCGATATTGCATGTGAGATAGGCAGTGGGGTAGAGCCATATATAGCGAGTGTTCACTGTGCAGCGGCTGTCAATTGAGCCGAGTTGATTTGATAAGCATGACTAGTGTGTCGGGTCTGGTGGTCGTTGGGCTGATGCTTTTGGTGTATGTCGCAGCGGAGGAGAAGAGCTACAGCCTGGAGCTGAACTCCTTCGATAAGAACACAAAGATCGAGAACGACGACTCCTGGGTCGATTGGGGCACGCTGCGCATGAAGAAGGTGAGCCGCAACCAGTACACCTTGGACGGCGAGTTCGAGTTCAAGAGGAACATAGGCGATGAGCAGAAGGTAAGCCCCACATGTCCCATGGAGCTCAAGAGAAATGCTACATAGACTCGATACCAATATATAACAGCTATCGCTGCAAGTGTTCTCCTACGATGAGGGCGCCAAGCAAAAGGGTCCCATGGTCATGAATGTGAACAAGCCGTTCTGTGAGTTCGTCAACGAGGACGTGGACACGTATCCCAATCTGCAGAAGAAGTCCAATATGCCCGAGCAGGGCGACTGTCCGTTCCCCAAGGGCAAGTACACCATCGATAACTACGAGCTGGAAACAACATTCCTGCCGGACGATGCACCCAAAGGGGACTATCTGTTGGAGCTCACCTTGCTGGACAATGAGGCTAGCCTCTCGGGTCTGGTAGCATCCGTCACTCTAACCTAATGACGATGACATCTTAATATTTGCTCCTACTTTTTTGTTTGTTTATTTTCTAATGTTCTATATTCCTTGTTTTGGGTGGATCCATAGAGCACTGCAAGCGTTTTACACATATGCCTACTTTCTGCTGTAGCTTTAAGCTTTGTTTCATTTCTTTCTATTCGTGTGTCAAATATTAAATGCTTCGCTTTCAAGGACCTAGAGCTCAAATTTGTAATTATTGAAGACTCTTACAGAGTTTCTGCTCAATACAGCTGCATTGCAGAGAGCTGTGGATGGGCCGGGAGAAGAAGGGGTTGGCCAAAGGATCTGTGGTAACAGCTCAGTCAAGTACACACATATGCTTGAATTTGCAAATACAGTAGAATATTCAGTTTATGCCTCAACACCTCGTCTAATTGAAATTTGCAATTGCTATTGCTGCCGCTGTCCTGTTGGCCTGTTATTTCACGCTGTGCCATTTGTCATTGACAAGCAGCAGCAGGAGCAGGAGGAGCAGGAGCAGCAGCAGGAACAACAACGGCGCCCAGCATATGCCAAGGCTCTCCAAAATGCGCGAATAATGACAGACTCCGCCCCCCATCCCCCCTCCCCAACCATCACACACATTCACATGGAAAAAAGGGCTGCATGTATAGAACGGGACTAGGGCTGTGCTTTTGCTAAAAATGATTATCTGTGCATTAAAATCCATTGATTCCACTTAAGCACCGTTACAATTGCGCACAGTGAGAGAGGCACACACACACACACACACAAACACACATAGACAAAGCGACAGCCACATGCGACACTTAATTAACAAATATGCATTACAAACACCCGCAACGAGCAGCAATTGGTTGGTCATGTCATCAGCTGGCTACCTCTTACCCACAATCATATCACACACACACACACTCACACACACACACAGATTATTGCACATTTGCATTGCCTATGCATGTGGATGGCTTTTTATTTGGCTCGTCAGCGTCAACCACCCGCATGGCTGCAACAGCAGCAGCAGCTGCTGCCGTGGCACCAGCAACCGTTGCCGGCGTCGCCAGCAATTGGGGAGTTGTGTTGCATGTGTTTAATTGAAAAATCATATGCAGCTCGCATAATTATGTTTATTGCAATAATCTGATGCAAATTTTCAAAACTCAAACTGAATGCTTTAGACGACAGTGCCCCAAGCAGGCAACCTGGCAGCCCTTCCAAGCCCTGCCAAGCCCTGCCAACACCTGCCACGCCCTCAGCCACCACCACCACGCACTTTTGTGTTATCTGCTATTGCTGTTGCTGCTGTTGTTGTTGTTGTTGCTGTTGCTCGCTGTTGGTGCACATTAAATTGCACTTGAAATTGCACATTTCAACGCCTACTGATTATGACAGATAATTATGTTATCGAGTGTTGCCGCACGCTAGCGTTGCCCCTTTATTCAGCAGCGATGCGACGCATCCACAGTCTCCTGCTACTGTCAGCCAGCCAGCAGGTGGATTGGGGGCATCTGCAATGTACATTTGAGCTTAGGCAGACTGGGCTATACATGTCTGTATATATGCAAATATATATATATATGAATATATATATATATATATATATATATATATATATATATATATATATATATATATGTGAAGCCTGCTCTATTATATATGATGTATATTATTATTATTATTACTATGATTATTATTATTATATATATATTTATTGTTTATTTTATATTAGCTTTCATCTATGTATATTCCATATCTATTTACTGCTTAATTTTCATGAGCTTTGGCATTGAGCTGAATGTTATTAATCTATCAACTTGAACTTGAAGTCAGTGCCTTGGTAGGGCTACAGCTACAGCTTAAATGATAAGAGCAACATTTCATTTTCAATGCAAAAATATTTGTGTGTATTGTAATTTACACTGAAACATTCCATCAGTAAAATAAAGCTCGCATATGGAATTATTTGATTTTTAATAAAAAAAAATAAAAAAACCAACTCATAGACCTCATTTTCTCAAATATCAAATAATTACAATCAAATGTATGTATTTACAGCAATAAATTTTAATATACAGACACATTTATATTACATATACAATCATAGAAATGCCCAGAAACTCTTTCGCCCTCTCTCTTTCGCTCTAACACACTCTCTTATCAGCTTCTGCTCATATTTGTATTTGTATGCGAATCTTTAAATATAGTATATATTCTTCAAATGAGTAAGCTCTCAAAAATAACATATACATGTGGCTAAACATTCTGTAGATCCCGACAGGCAGATACCCTGTATCTATTACGACTATACAATGAGAAATGCTTAAAAAGTATTTGGTATTTAAGTATTTCCATGTACTAAGGCTTTCGATACTTGTATAATATTCATGTACTTGTCTCTCTGGCCCATCACACACACACACACTTGCGCCTATTACAGGGTATATTTATGAAAGCAACTGCGAGACCTACTCGAGCCACCGAAGCTGAATGCGAAATTTAGTTGAATTTCAATTGATATGCGCGTCGGTCGAATTTTAAATACAAAATGATCTTCAAGCAATTTATTTTATGGTCTTTCTTAATGCTGACGATCGATCCAGGTTTCGGTGTGGTACGCTGTCTATAAATAGTTCAATGTGCTTAGTAATATCAAGTATTTCTCTTTTAAGGAGCTGCAATCGGGCAGTCTGAAGTCGGAGTTCAGTGTGAAATGTTTTGGAATAATGCAGCCGCTGCTGCAGGATATAGCTATAAAAAAGGAGAAAATTGATCGATGTGATGCGGTTGTTCAAGGCAGAGATGACAAATTGGCAGAGCTCCAGGTCAAATACGATCAAATGCAAATGCAGCTGGCTGTGGCCGAGACTGCGGTGAGAGAGAAGGAGCGTCAGATAGTTCAGCAGCAGGATCTGTGCAACTCCCACAAAAACAACAGCAATGTCAAGGATGAACTCATTGCGGCCTACAGGCAGCACGTCAAGGACAAAGCCTCGGAGATCGATCAGTTGCAGCGGGAACTCAAGGCGCAAGCGGAGCTCCTCGGCAACTGCAGCGCAGAGTCTAAGCAAAAGGATGCTCGAATAGGGCAGCTACAACAGGCATTGGCTGAAACGAGTCAGTTAACACGCGAGGAAGCCGCTCGAAATATGACTCAAAGCGCGGAACAAATTCAGCAGCTGCGGTCCGAGGCAAGGCAGCACAAGGATCAGCTCGACAGCCTAAGGTCGCAGCTAAGAAACAAAGAGGAGTACCTCGAGAAGCTGCAGTCGGAAATTGAGTGGACCAAGGAGCTGCAAGATAAACTGAAGAATCGAGAGGAGCAAATCGAGAAGCTTGAAGCGGAATTGGCAAAGAAACTGGAGCAACGAGACGCCTTCAGGCTGCAGTTGAATGCGAGCGAGCTGCTGAACGAGCAAAAGACGGCGGAAGTGAATAGCTTGAGGTCGGAATTGAATAAAATGCAGTTGCAGCTATCGGAGTATAAGATCCAAATCGATAGGCTGCAATCGACAGATTGTTATTGGTTTGGCAACTCGTCTGCAGTACACCAGATACGTGCGCCTGGCATCAAGCCATTCGATGTGCTCTGCGACTCGGAGCTGGCCGGGCCCGGCTGGACCGTGATACAGCGTCGCTTCGATGGCAGTGAGAATTTCTATCGAAACTGGACTGAATATCGCAACGGTTTTGGTGATCTGCACGGCGAGTTCTTTATCGGCATGGAGAAGCTCTACCGACTCACGCTGGCCCAGTCCAGCGAGCTCTATGTCCATTTGGAGAGCTTCGACGGGAGCGTCTACTATGCTAGATATTCCGACTTCAGCATTGGCAGCGAGAGCGAGTCCTATAATCTGAAACTGCTGGGCACCTACTCAGGCAACGCTGGCGACGGTCTGTACTATGCCAAATATCGGAAGTTCTCCACCTTCGATGTGGATAATGACAGATCTGACGACAACTGCGGCATACTGAGGCACGGCGCCTGGTGGTACGACCGATGCGGTCTCAGGTTAGTGCTAGATACTTTCTATACAATGGCACAGATATCTATGTACATATCGTATCTCTTTCAGTAATCTCAATGGTCAATACTTCAATCACAGCTCCAAAGATGCTCGGAGTATTTTTTGGCTTGGCGCACAGAGCACATCCTTCAAGAAAGTACAAATGATGCTGCGACCCAAGACTGCTCAATTTACCTGAGCATCGTAGCTATTACCAAAATATTTATGAGTAAAATTCCTTAAAAATCATATATGTACGATATATATATATATATATATATATATATATATATTTTTAAACTTTATTGAGTGATATTTGATTGAAGTAATTTGAAAATAGTTTTTATTAAAATAAAAGAGTAAGTTTTAAAATATATTCCTAGTTGCTTATAAAATTAAAGTTGTGTATACAAGGCTGTCCATATTTGACAGACCCATCTGGCAGCCCTACAACGTTGCCCATATTCGACGGTCTCATAACTTTTCTTTCTAAATCAAAGGCGATAATAATCATTTGATTAGGTTCTCGTAGATCTGCTAGCATTGTTTATTGAATGTGATATCTCTCTATGATGGCCTGTACGACACTTCTGCCAAAATATATTGGGTTCGTTACATATGGACAGCCTTGTATATATGATATACTTACTTACCTCTAATATATGTATGCGTATTTTCAGGGTATACAACATTGAGATATGCTCTGGATTCCATTTACTTATATGTACATATATTTGTGTATGTACATATATTTCTTTTTATTAAGTCATCTCACAGAGGCCTGGTTAACACTCGGTTTGAGTCGCAGCTGAAGTAGAAGAACGTTTGGGGAAACGTTGCCAGGCCGCAGAAATTTGTTTGTGATTACGCCCAGCCGCAGTGGCAGTCGTCTGTGTGTGTGTCTGTGTGTGCTGAGGTGTGCTGTGTATTATGTAGGTACACATATTTTTAATCATCATTAACAATAATTCGAGAAATACTTTTAATTTTTTTCCGTTTGCGTCAGGCGCAAGACGACGCCAAAGACGTAAAAGATGTTGGCCTGGGTGCACTTGGGCTTTGTCTTATGGCAGGGATAACAGCATATGTGTGTATGCTAGTGTATGTATGTGTGTATGTGTGTGTGTGTGTGTGTGTGTGGGGCTGTGTTATGCTTATTCCCCGCGCTACTTGCTGCCACTTCTGCCTCAATGACATTGCACTTACAGCTCCGA